TTTTTATAAATCAACGTAATAAATGATAATAGTCTTTGTGGATTATCTCGTATCATCATCATCAGCTCACTATACGTCCCCACCGAGGGGCTCGGAGCCTACCCTAAGTTAAGGGTGATTAGGCCATAGTCAACCACGCTGGCCAAGTGCGGGTTGGTTGACTTCACACATATCTTTGAATTTCTTCTCAGATATGTGCAGGTTGCATCACGATGTTTTCCTTCACCGTAAGAACGTCGGATAAATGTACATATGTAAATCGGAAATCGAAAAACACATTGGTACATGGCGGGATTCGAACCCAGGACCTGCAGATTGCAAGTCAAGTGCTTGACCACTGCGCCACTGACGCTCGATTATCTCGTATATAAAACCGAAATTAATTATTACATTTAACAAAGAAATTAGAGCGTTGGTACACGGTGTCACCCACTTTACAAAATTGTTATTTCATGTATACACAACACGCTTGAGTCAATGTAATCCATCTTTTTTTTCTTTTATAAGAACTTTAAAGAAAAAAAATGACCAGAGCTTTCGAAAAATACAATTAATTTCACGTAAAACAATCACGCAATTTGTTTGATAAATGTTGTAATAATCTTAAAATATAACAAAATATTTTTTCTGTCTGTACGTATAAGTCCGCCGTCCCCGGAGCGCGTATTAATTTTCCAGGGCTGGCACACGGGGCATTTCACACCCCGACGCCGACATCCCCCAACCACCTGCCTCTTGTACACTTCGATGAGTTTCATTACCATCATTTTCAATACCGCGGCATTTACACGACATTTTTAATAAAAGGTAAAAAATAGTAATTTAATAATAAACATATTTTAAAAGTGAATCGTTCCTTAAAACTACGTAGATTCTAGAATATACTTTTACGGTAGGTTTCTGTTTTATTAGCGAAACTTTACTGTAGATTTCTACACTAAACTTCCACTAAGGGACAAGTTACTATAAAATTAGAGTAAGTCGATTTTATATTTTAAACAGTTTTATCTTAGCTGGATAAGATTACATGGAATTTGATAAGCTTTATTTCTTTTCTCTTAATTTTTAAAATAAAACGTAAAAAAATATTTTCCAATAAATCTCATAGTAACTTATTTTATCTTGCAATTTATAGACCTATCATTCGAGTAGCGGTTTCATAATTTGCTCAAAGATTGCGCGGGTGAGGTCGCGGGGAGCGGGCGGGGGGGCGGTAACCGTGTTAGAAACTCATCTGAACGGAAATTGAAATATTATGGTCCGGCCATGATAGGCCGAGACCGAGGGAAAGAACGGCTATCGAAATAACGCTCTACTAAATTAATAACCGTGTTGAACAAAATAATTATTTTCGTATTAAAAACTATTAAAAATCTTATCTAAACGTGATATTTAAAAATAAAAACTTTATAAATATTAATCTAATTAATATTAAAAATGCCAAAGTTTAGAATTTAGATGTTTGGATGAATTAATGTTTGTTAGAAGATGTCTCCAGAACGGTTGAATCTTGCTATCCCTATTATTATCATAGAGAATGAGAGAGATAGCAAAATGATTTTCGTTCAATTCAATTCCGTGGGTATGATTCTATCTATACTACATCCCGTACCCTTCCTATATGTTAGGAGATAACTCTCTTATGTTAAGTGAACAAAAGGTGGAGGTCGATCAATCAGAAGCTTGCCAGTTAATTAACTAGCTCAAAACTACATCTTTAGGACATTGAAAAGGGTTAAAAGGTAACATTGATACCCACATACATATAGCAATTTAATTAAAACTTTGAATTGTTAAATTGTAATCATCTTAAGTTGTAAGCAGAAACATTAATATCTCAAAATCGATTAAACGTTATTTTTGTCCGTGACTACAGAATTACGTATTCAAACTCCTTGGTAGACATATATTAGACATTCTGCCAAAGCGGTGGAATACTGGCCACTGAGAACCTTTGCCTTTTAGATTTAAAAAGATAGGTGAAAAAAAAATAAAAATTATCGCGCGGGAAAAGAATTAGTTGGAATTTTTAATGTAATCATGTAATATGACTGCCACGCTGCTGTTTCCAATATATAAAGTACGTCTGATTTAGAAAAAAGGCTTAATTTTACGTAAGTATCTACATATACAGTTGAAATATAATTATGTCTGTTTAATTATGTAACCTATGTAAATTACTGACCGATTTTTTAAGTCGAATTTATATGTTTTTAAATTAATTAAGGCTTGTCACAACAAACTGTATTTATATGTTTTGTTCTCTAATTCTCCTATTAATAGGTTTATAATTTTATTCTTCCAATTAATAGTTTTGTATATAACGTATTTATTATTCAAGAAAAAAGAAGATTAGTAGAAGAAAGAAGGTAAGAAGAAAAGCTCTTGGATGTCAAATTGACTCTAGTAGGGAGTCCGTTTAATGCGCGACTCCCTAATCGAGTCAGGTTGACTTCCTTGAGGCTAAGCCAACGTACGAAGACCAAACCAACAAGATGAAAGAAGAATTTGTTTATTAATTTCATGTTAATGTTAAATATTGTATCTACGTGTATTTGATTACTTTTAATTGAAAACAATTGTTTTAAGTATTTAAAAATATTTTTTTTTAAATTTGAGATGTGTGATTTTCAGCTGCAGTAAAACGTGTATTCATACAAAATGTCATACCTCATGTTCATATCACGGCAGTCATTCCTACAGTTAGAAATAATATGCACAGACTGACAGACAGATAAGTATACCAAGTATTTTAAACGCATTATATTTTATTCAGTTGTTAACAAACCAATAAATTGAATGAACTTGAAATTATAATAATAAAATTGTTCTGAACAGTATTAACAATTATTAAGAGAATATGATATGAATTTTCTCCGGTAAAATGTAATGTAGAACACCCTCTAAATTAATTTATTAATCTAATAACAAACTGTAACTTAAATATATTACATTTCTAAATATAAAAGCTTATAAAATTTAATAATACCTAATCCTACTTAGGGTTACGCATTAAATGTAATTTGGATTAAAACTGTAAGCAAAATAATTATTATTTACGTAAATATTTCGCACCCCTAACAGTGGAGTAATCCGGCACGAAATAAACTCAAATAAATTTATTAGAAACACTTCAAAAGAGTTAATTGATAAAGGAGAGGCGCGTTAGCGAGAGAGCCAAAGCTTGTCCACGTTACGTTGATTTGTTGAAGCTTGTATTTAATTTTTTATTGTTATTCAAGCATTAATTTGTCAACTTTTCATTAATGTAGATTTTTAAACATATTAATTTGTTAAATGCACAGTTTAACATAATTTATGAAATGTTCATAATGGTGTAACAATATATCAAATAATATTTAGACGGATGGATCGATGGATGGATGAATCGATGTTTGTTAGAAGGTATCTCTAAAACGGCTAAAATTAGGCATGGATATAGAACACATAGGCTAAAAACACATAGGCTACTTATAAAGGTTTTTTTTAATACCACGCACGACGTCATGAGTGACAGTTAGTTATTAATAAAACGCCACTGCTACTAAATTAACATAACATGGCTCTAAAAAAATAAAAGTCAAATTATTTTTTTTCTTTCCAATAATGTAAATTGCTTTAATTAAAAGTAATTGCACACACAAGTCAGCTGAAGGCAAATCGGAAGAAATCACGTTTCATATTTATGATACAAACGCCAGGGGGCGCTTTGCTACAAGACGTCTAATGATATCCCAGGGGCGCTGCAAAAATACCCTTAAAATTAAAACCTCCCCGACAGTCTGCGTCTAATCAATTGAAGATTAAGGCAGTACCCGACTTTAAGCATATTGCGCATTCATTATTGTAAATAATCTCTGTAGTACAGAGGGAAATTGCCATCCTGTTGCCATCCTGTTGCCACCCCTTGTTTATTGGATGTGATTCCCAGCCAAGATTTTTTAAGTTTGTATTTGAAAATAATAAAATAGCCTGTGTCAATTTGTAGTTCTAATGATTTAGCTAAACTTTCTCGTATTAAAGTCTCAAGGTCAGACATTGGCACTCTAACTAAAATTGATACTATAAGTCTTTATACGATTTAGTTATAATTATTATATTGTGTCTATTTTTTTATTTAAATTATATTCGATGACGTAAGAGTAAACTGAACATCAGCGGAAATGTGGTGTCCGTTGGGAAATCATACAGTAACACGACACTGAATATGTTCAATGTCGCGCCATCTTACTTATCTTACATTCAGTTTTATTAATATTATCTTAAACGTGGAGAGTATTTGATGAAACATTATTCAAATATTTCTTATATTTCCAAGACATATATTTAAGTTTTAATTGATGATTTTTAAATTGAGTTCATTATAGAGATGTAAAATAAAGAATAACGCCATCTAGTTAATAAATAGGCGCAGCTATAAAACTATTTCAAACACATACGTATGAATGGTGTTTGTTTGTCTTATAAGCTATATACGTATTGTGCATGACAATAGATGGCGTTGCTTGTATGGCTGGGTCGCCAGCTTTGTTCTGGTGTGCGGGCCCAAGTTTACGAACAATAACGCAATCAAGTCAGGGAGCGTCGCTTTGTTTGCTGAATCAAAACTGATGACATGTCACTTTACTGTGAAATGTATTATATTAATATATGAAGAGGCTTGACAGAGCTCTTTAAATTATATGTTTTCGTTGTGACTTACTAAAGTACTCAGAACCTCATAAATTTATTTATTTAAGTTATTTAGGCAATCTTTCTTTGAAGATTTCTCTAATCGATACTTTTACTCACTTTACTCTGAGTAAGTTCGATGTTTAAATAGTAACGCGTTGGTGTCAACACGTTTTTTATTCGCTCTTTAAGATTTCGTAGATATTTGATTAATAACTACTAACCAATTGCTTTCAAAACTTGTCGTATGTATGACCCTAAAATGTTCTACTTGTTTCCACTGAACGGGAAGGTAGATGTTTTCTAATCAGTTCTAAATATGTTTTCAGTACAAAATCCCCAAGAAGGAGGAGATGGTGGAACAGCAGCAGGCGGAGCCCGACAATCCGCTCATGAGGAAGAAGAAGACGCCCGAGGAGCTTGCTGCGGAGGCCGAGCTCGAGGACCAGGACGAGTTCACTAGTAAGTTTAACTACCAATTCCACTAGCAGTTCCAAAGTATAAAAGTTTAATTGACATAGTACTGTTCAGGGCCGATGCTAGGGTACGGCACGGTTGGGCAACCGCCCAAGGCGCTGAACAGAATGGGACGCCATAAGTCTGCGAATTTCGCAGTCCCACATAATCCTGTAAAAAATATAGCGTCGTAAAAATTTCGCCCAGGGCGTTACTTTTATCTTTAACTGAACAGATTTTCTGAACAAATGTTTATGAATAGGCAAAATCTGAAATTAGAAAAATAAGTAAAATATTATTATAATAATGTTTTGTTTGATTTCAGAACTGAAAAATACCATCGAAACGCAAGTGAACGAATTGAAATCTCAGATCGAGAGCAAGTGCGTGATGCAGTGAGCGGGAGTTGTTGCGTCTTTGTTATAACAATATTATACCCGAATACATGATGTTGCTGCTCGGCCGATTGTTACGTCACACCCACCACATTCCACCCCCGAACAACCCCCAAACCCAACCGGAACAACCCCTTGGCAACACCGTATCATTCGCGTTCAAACATTTTTGTAGGAGAGATCGAATTCTAAATTATTTGGAAACGTAGTCAGCTAGTGGCGCGTTGGTGCTTCATGATGAGCAATAATATTTTTATACATTCATAGAAAAAAAATTGTTGGAGAGCGACCCTCAATGCCACAGAAAAGTGCATCAGCGGGACTCGCCCCCGCCGCGCCGCTCAAGTCACGGCAAATGATCCACTTTTATATGTTGATGCTTGTGATATATTGTTATTTAAGTGTAAAGAGGAAATAAATTTAATTACAACTAGAATGTTAATGAAAGTATGGAAGAAGTAACATATATTAAGTCGGTAGCGCGCGTGTAGTCTGACTGTACCGAGACCATCCTTCTCTCGTCTGTCTCTCGCCTTCGGAATCGACTTACATTGAAATAACAATGTATTCGCTCGTAAATATTTGTTTTCATCCAAATTCCTCTCAGCTTGGTGTCTCTCGATGTAGACGTTTTACCGCGCGCGGTAAAACAGACGCGTGGCTTACGCTCTTCGCTCTCTCTCTCTCTACCTCTCTCTCTCTGTCTGTCCTCTTCTGTCTCTCCTTCTGCAACTTCAAACTCTCCGACTTTTGCCTCTAAATCTTTTGCATGCGTGCTTCTGCAGTGTTAGTCGGTATCGTGTCAGTGAATTTGTTTAGATGTAAATACCCGTAATGAACCTAGCCTTAATATCCACATCGAAAATATAAATAGGTGCAATATAGTTATTGATAACGTTTGGAGCAGGCATCCGGCCGTTGCCGAAGAATGCCTCTCCGTCTCGTAATAGTCTTCACTTTTGTTCCTGCATGTCTGTAAGATAAGATTGATGTTCATTTAGATTAAAGCGTTAAGGTTGTAGATAACACTTGAGCTGTTGTTTTACCGTTGTAACAATGTAGCGTAGTTAACGCAATCTAACGTTTTATCGATGTTTTATGCTTAGGTATAAAGTTAATGTACGTGCGAGCGAAATTTTCGAGCGATTCGTGCGATGGTATGTTCAGAAATGATTTAAACAGACAACGTACGTGGCCGCGGTCGCGCTGTAGACTGCTACGACTAACGCAGAAAGAAGGCTCGCAAGTATTTGTTCGAACGTTTTTCTCCACATGTAAGCTGCAAATGCAAAAGATTTGTTATCGTCAAAAGCTGTGATATATAAATAAATAAAACTATCGGAGTGCGCGGGACGCGGCTCGACCGCCCCCAACCCGACACCCGATACACTTTTCACTTTAGCTTCTTTGATCTTTGAACTTCACTAAATAAATAAATATATCTCATCGACTATCTTTGTGACGTCATTCTAAATGTTCACCTTTCCTCCGCTCTCATAGACTTCTGCGACGGAACTTCGAGAAACTTCTACAATATAATCAGCACATCATGTATTTCTCCTACATTTGTGTTACTTTATCTCTTCGACTATCGGCTATGTAACCTACGCTTGCTTAACATCTCTTCTTAACCTATTTTTTTTCATTTTGCTCTTCGATTAAAAATCTATCCTCATGATATCGCGGACTCAATATATTCAATATACATCCATGTAAATAAGCAACAATACTTTCAGATCTATTCAGAATTCTATTCTATTTTCAGAGCGATAAGATTGAAAATATTTTATCTGGGAAACATTCTATTATATTTAAACAGCTCCTGGTATGGAATCAGTTCAGAGCATTTCTTTTGGTCGCGATCTCTTGCGATGGGCGCCGCTTCTCTGGGCCTCCGACCCGTCCGTCGTATCTCAACATTTCACCTTATCTATCGTTAAGGTATTCTCACTCTTACCGTGTACGTGTACGTGTCTAGCTTAGGTTTACGATATATAACGCGTTAGCTCTGTTATATGTGCATGGCATTTCTAGCTAAACTGTTGTTCGTAGTTGTTCGAAGTAAACAATAATAGTTGTAAGTCCGGACCCCTCGGTTATCTCCGACACGACCAATAAGTCGCCTCTACGGTTCATCTCTTCCTATGTCCTGTCTACTCGTATGCTACCACTATGGAACGCTGCCCTAGAACCTTTCTCTCTTCGACTATCTTCAATCTATCAGTAGCGTCTTATATAACTTCGATCTTCGTTGTTGACTTTCACTTACGTAGCTATAGTGAATTAGAAAATTATTTTGGTACGTAGCGAGGGTTAGGTATAGCGTTAAAATTTCAATGTTAAATCCGCTAATTGTCACTAATTTAAAAATCTAATCTTGTTTATGGTAATTTTTGTATATTTCTGTGTGTGCATGCGTTTATATTTAAGTGTAAGTTAGCTCTTGCGTGTGTGTTCGGTGTCGTTTTCTCTCGATTAGACTTTGACTCGATACGTAAAGCGCTTTATCGAGTTTCTTGTATGTAAGCTTTCAATGTTCTCTGTATAGTGTTAAATATGTATTTAGGTAAATGATTGCTTAACTGCGCAATTCGTTACGGAATTTGGGTGATATCAAATTGTTAAAATTATATTAGTATTTTCAAAAAGCACTTACTATTTCTTGCTATTTTTGCATTACATTTTCTGCGATCACAACTTCCTCACTGCAATCCGAGTTAGCCATCGGCCGGTACATTGAATTTATAAAGAGGTTTATACAAGGTAGATATGTAGTGTAGTATATAATATTAAATTATAATATATAAATAAATATGCAAATATTGATTATTATTTATATTCACAGCCGTAGTATTATTGATAATGTTCTTAAGTGACTCGCGACCAATTTCAGAATTTCTCCAAAGGCAAAATCAGTTGATTGACTAATCTTATGACCTTTGTACTCAGGGTAAATTAAATATTGTAATTTACTGCTCTTGTTGTCTATTTATATATTATCTACATATGTTCAGTTATATCTATTAGCATTGTCACTTCGCCTCTTTACTTTCTCCTGCCTATCTTCTCCCACGTAAACTTAATTCTGCTCCGATCTGTTTCTATATATTTCAATGTTATTCTTGTTGATAAGTCAAATGTTTAACCTGTATCGTGTAACATCTTTCGGATGTTGTTGAAGTCACTAAAAACTCCGAATAAGCAATTGTTAGACATCGAGAAATGTAATTAAGTAGGAATAATAAAAACATATAAAAACCGATTTTAATAACTTTCGGTAAGGAATAGGTTTGTTAGGATGTTAACTTTGATGATAAAAAGTCTGTTTTATTGTTGCACTAAATATTTGATAGATTACACTAATCAGATTAATTTTTAATAAGCGACTATTCATTTTTAGGAAAAAAAAATTACATGTCAGAATATAGAGTATATAATAAAACAAAATAATAATATATACGAGAACCACAATCAAAATTTATTCATGGATTTTTTAGGACCGTTTACAGATAAATTTAAATATGATTCATTTGAAAAATAATGTAATTAATTGAAACATAAAAGCAATAGTAAATTCCACATAGAGACTGTCAATCACAACGAAAATAAATACGCCAATGAATACTTAAAAAAAAATAATGCCTCACTAATTGTTCTTATAACATAAGAAACATATCAACCGAAAAACAACAATTACGCAGTTCATAAATGGCGGATATAATTTATAGGTTATGTCAAACTGCACAGATAACTAAAACCGGCTGACATACAGCAATAGACAAATGTCAGAGACAACGACACAAACCACACACAAGAGCTTCATTACACGAAATAACGCCATTATTTAATGTATTTAAGATGTTATTTTATATTTCAATCATAGTGTGGAGAGGCTTTATAAAAGAACTGAGAAGAAAGTGCCACAGAATACCGATAATTTTTGCTCTTTTTGGAATGATTTTTACGCATCTTACCACACTATGTTTGAATTTTTCTATTGTGTTTAAAAGGTGCGCCATTTTCATAAAGATGTTGTCGTTATATGTTGGCACGGCCGGGGATGGTTATAAATTGTATGTTCACGATTCTGTAGTTATATGGAACGTGTAAGAAGGTTGTTCCCCGGCCGACGGAATTCCACTAGGGTAGTCAGAGGCCACATTTTGGTAAGTTAGTTTTTAATATTAGTGACATCTAGTGTTAATAATTGCAAGTTTACTGAAATTTAATGAAATGTGTAAAACAATTTTGAAAAAAAAAAACAAATAAATTCAGATATGAACGTGGTTCATGTGTTGTATTGTTATTATAAAGGTTAGTAGATAAACCATGATAACATTAACTTAGAGTAACGGATGAGAAACGAAAAAAGTTATTGTTAAAAATGTTTTTAGATAATTAAATCAGATTGAGCTTTTGTGAAACCTTGTTATTGATGGTTATTAATAGTTCGGTTCGCGGTATTTCAGGCTGTCAGAGAACTGCCATACGATAATGACTTTTATCTCAATACGTATTAGTTCGATTTTGTCACCCGTCACTCGTGTAGATATAAGGTAGGCTTGGGCTGCATATTTGTTTATCTGTAATGTTGCAATGCATTGTTAAATTTATTTAATCGTCCCTATTAGTTACGTACAAAAGTTTAGAGGTAGCCATTTTCATGTGAACATCTGTGAATGTGAAAGTGGTGTATCTACCATGTTGTTAAATAATAAATAAATTACATTGTACCACCACGCTGTTGTTTTATTTTATACAAACCTTAAAAGCAAAGGCCCCTTTAATAAGGAAACTGATCAGCTGGTTTTTTTTTTTCAATTATGAAATAAATTGCACGACTGTTGGAGACAAGAATACAACAAAAATGAATATTAGGCATAAATTATAAATGTAAAAATTTTAATTACTTAACTTTATATTTACAAACAGTCATTAATCATAATGAAAATTATTCCAATACAGTAAATACGCTCCAAAATCTATTCAATTGTTTGTTAAAATCTGATAACATATTAATTAAATCCTCAAACGTGGATCTGAGCAGTCCCTGATTTGCTTTCTCACTGATATTAATAACAGCGCCATCTTCCGACAACTTCGTTTTCAATGTTAATTCATTAAAATCTGTTTCAGTTTTATCAAGATTTTCCTCTTGTGGTTTAAATTGCAAATGTAAACTACCTTTTAATTTATTTAATACATCGCCAGGATAATAATTATCATCAATATCAATGTCATTCTCCATTGTCTTGTATAAATTTTTCTCTTTTTTTATTTTACAATTTTCAATGCTTTTTATTGTTTTTTCATTGACACTTCGACGTTTTCTTTTTCTACCGTCTTCATTTAATTCGTCATATTCTGCAGAATCTACTTTATTAGATCGTTTAAAATTCTTTCTATTAATCCTAATCTTGTTTATTTTTGATAATTTTTCGTTCTTAAATGCTATTAATTTATCCAAAAAATTTGATTTCAAATCAAATCTGTCACGTTCATTTCTATGAAACTTCGATTTCAGACCTTTTCTATTATTTTTTTGTGAATTTTCTTTATAATCCGATTGTCGTTTAAATCTAATTGGTAATTCCAGTTTGTTTTTATCATTTTTAGTGATCAAATATTCATGAAAGTTTTTTAATTCTTCATTTAAATTATTTATCTGTTTGCGTAAATTAATCATTGTGTTATTTACTTCAAACTCCGTGATTGAGTAATTTTCATCGGAAATATCAAGAGATTTGTCTAAATCAACGACATCGCGCTTATTTCTTAGTGATCTTCTAAATTTAATAGCATTTTCTTTGTTTATTTCATCCTTATCAATTAATAAATCTTCGGTTATCTCTTTATTGACATCTTTGTAAATACAAGCCTCTACTTTAGTATTGGCCAGCACCCAAAAGCCAAAAGATTTTGGTGGAAGATTAATCAGCAGTGTTTTGTAAGGTCTAACACGTTTGACCACAGGACGAATGTCTCCTTCTAAATACATAGCTCGTCCATTCACCACTATGTTCCTGTGACGAAACGATACATTATAAAAATATATAAGCTTATTAAAAGAATCAAGAATGTCAATTAAAACTTACCCGTTACTATCATGAGCGAATATAAACTGCATGATGTCGCCACCGTCTTCTCTCTTAGATAATTTAAGTGAGAATCTCGCCGGTTCATCGTCCATGTTAGCTCCATAAAGAGTGATGGCCCCGGACACTGGTTGCTGACGCAGCGATGTACAGTGAGCGAATAAAGTTGCTTGAGACACCGTCATGTTGACGTTGAGCACACGTTCACCCACTAAGTTCTTGTAGATGAGCGCCATGTAAAAACTCTACAATTAAATGTTTTTTTAACAACTTTATTTGTTTAAAAACTGGACAAAAAAAACATATAGGCGAATTGAGAAACGCCACCTTTTTGAAGTCGGTTAAAAAGTAATAAAAAATCATGAGTATATCTTACCAATGTGGGCTCATGCAACTCCTCTTCCAATAGTTCTCTAAAGTGAATAGAGAACCCATTCCTGGCAGCGTACCCCAGGCTGGCCACCCAGTCCGCCGCGCGCTGAAGTTGCCCGCGCCAAAGCACTTGCTCTGTCAGCCACAGCGGTGTGGCGCTTCTGCTAAGTACACGCAGCAGCTGCACACGATCCATCTCTGACATCTTCTCTAGTTGCTGAGCTGATGAATTACTAAAACAAAAGTTTCACCCCTACAGATACCAATAATCGTCGGAAGCAGTCGGAAAAAATCAATATTTTCGTGAGAAAGTCAGAGTGGCGCTAGTATCGCGTACTACAATCTCACGTTCCGATCTGCGCTCGAATAATTGTAACATTAAATAATGTTTGTATTTAATACCGATTTATTCATTTACCTTATCAACCGATAAAAAAATTTAAGGATTATTTCTTCGTAAAAATATAACTTTTATGTAACCATACCCGTTAAGAAATATTGCGTCCAACATATCATTAGAGAGAGTGACAAAGTCCTTGAAGTCACTCTGGGAGTCCGGGTGTAGGCAGGGCGCGATGTCTCCCGCCACCACCTTCCACGACGCTGATGCTGCAGGGGAGAAGGTCTCCACCATCACGCGGAGAGTCTCCAAATCATTGATGTACTCTTCGATCGACTGGTTTGCGCATTCTAGTAAATAAGTTGAAGTACAAAAGTTCACAATATAAAGGCCTTATACTTAGACAGTAATCTTAGTAATATAAATTGGAAAGTTTGGACGGATGGATGGATGTTAGTTACATGGTAAATCTCGCTGAAATTTGGCATAGATGTAGAACATAGTCTGGAAGAAGACATAAGCTACTAATCAAGATTTTTTTTTAATTCCGCACGGATAGAGTGTCAGGCGACAACTAGAACAGTTTTTAGTACATACAATATAAGAGATTTTTATTCTCCATAATAAAATTGAAACTTACCATAACCTAGTTGCCAATAAATATCACCGACTTTGACCTTTTCATTCACAGTCATTGTCTTCAAAGCAGAATTAGTATCCCACATACCGGAAGCCGTTTTCATTTCATTGTTTAAAGCTAAAACTAAGTCAAATCCGGTCTTTTTAGCCCAATGTACAAACTTGCCCCATTGTTTATGACTCATAGATAACGGTTCATTCGTTCGGTCTTTTACATTGGTAGAGAGTGAATGATATTTTCGTCTATAGTCCTCTTTATTAATGGTTGTTTGTGGACCTTGAATGGATATCGTAGAGTTGGTAAATGTTATATGAGAGGTGGATGGTCCAGCTATTCGTAGATATGCAGGAGTTAATGATGACGCCATGCAAAAACAGTGTTTACTAAAACAAAAAAAAAATCTATTTACCGAGGGTTTCTGACCCCAAAATTTCTGTATAAAACATATCTTCACCCTTCACAAAAAAAAATTCTGAGGAATGAATAATCCTTGGAATTAAAATAAAAACTTAATTCGGAAGAATTTAAATTTTTTCCTTTATTAAGTGGAGAAGTAGTGGCTGCATGTAAGCAGTCTGTAAAAAAAAATAAAAATACTTACTTGTTATATTTGTCACTGGCACCGAAGAGATATTTGGGATCAACGGTGAAACTTAAAAACTTTGCATCAATCAAATTAACATGCTGCTCTGTGTCTATCTGAACATTATAAATATAACAACTAAATCGAGGCAATAATGATAGTATTTTAATAATTATTACATATTTTTTTACAGCATCCATGGAGAAATAAGAAATTATTAAAAGTTTTAAAAATATTAAAAATGTCACTAATGTGTTTGCTTATTAGAAATGTAATGAATTGTATACGTGCTCGTTAATATTAACTTTGAAACGACAAGGTCAACATTATGCTGCAGACAAATTTTTAAATAAGACATTTCATAAAGTGTCTTAAATTCATGTTTACATGTACACACTGTTTTCATAGTCAAATAATATCTAACTCATTTTACAAAGTAAACTTATAAGTAGCGTAAGCACAACATAGTATGTTCTTCATTTTGAAAACGACAGATATGCCTAACAATGTTTAGTAGCACGGCAAAGAAGTGTGTCAAAATTGTATCGTAACTAGATATTGCCTCCACCCCTTTTCATAATTTTACTTATTAGTCGTTTAACAGTTTGTTTATATTGTACCTCTAACTGCGACATGCTCGTTATTTTGCTAGCGTTGCAAATACAGTTCTTCCTTAATATCGTTTGTGAACTAAATAAAATATTAATTGAAACAATGTTTTGTTTTTACAGCAATTAAATCACGTCTTGCTATTGTTAGCATTTCAATGCTGGCTGAATAGACTTTTTATGTTTTTATTCACAAAAACTCAAGATTATTATAAAAAACGTCTTATAATTCGTACATTATTTTATTATGCAAGAACGTGGCTAACCGATAATCAAGCTATTTAGGCTGATTTCGAATTTCGAAAGGTTTTTTACCCTTTTGAAATTCGGCCAAAAATTACAATTTACGCTCGAGATACGAGAATAGAAAGGGGCAGGTACAATGTGTTTCAGATACGATTGTGCTTGATCTCGACTGATTGCAATCCTTCATGCATTTCATGCAAACACTAATGTGATCTTAGGTAAATCTATCTAGGAATGCCTAGGAATGGTAACCTAAAGGTCCACATCTACAAAATATTCCTCCGCCTTTACAGTTGTGTTTTAATATCCAAAACTCTATTTTTCTTCTTATATATTGGCTTTTGCTCCTTTTTTATGCACGCTACACCCATGCAGGTAGCATTCGTAACGAATAAAAACATCAACAATGCATTGTAAAATTTGTAAAGCGGCAACATTGTTTTGACAATTTGACATTAGTCATCAATACAATGTGTATCATTCGCCCTTTTATTTATCTTTAATTTTAGCGAATTATCGCGTTATCTGGCCTTAACAACAGTTTTTGTAAATCGTACATCAGAAGTTAATCACTTTCATGTATCACACGATGCATGAATCAAATAGAAAGCTAAAAATCAAACTTTTTAACATTACTTTATTAGTTTGTCCATAGTTTATCGTTAAAATGGACAATAGTGTTGATAGTGGTAAAACTGTAGAAGATTCTACCGCCCAGAAGAAAGAGTCAACTATAAATCTTCAAAAAATTTGTCTCGTTTGCGGAGATAAGGCGTTGGGTTACAACTTTAATGCAATATCTTGCGAGAGTTGCAAAGCATTTTTTAGACGCAATGCGTTAGCTACTAAGGAGTTTAAGTGTCCATTTGCTAATAATTGTGAAATTAATGTAGTTACGCGTCGGTTCTGTCAGAAATGTCGATTGGAAAAGTGTTTAGCAGTAGGTATGGTGAAAGAATTTATAATGTCCGATGAGGATAAAGCTGAGAAGAGGAGGAAAATCGAAGAAAACAGAGCAAAGAAGCGTCAGATAAGTGACACAGAAGATACTGTAACTAGTTCAAAGAACTTTAAACGTGATGAAGAGAGTGTTTTGAATAATACACACTATGGAAACTTAGTGCCAGACCCCTCCATAGTACAGTATGATGTCTTAAACAGTACAACATGCAGTCCAAACAGTACAGTGCAGTCACCGTTGAATAATGACTTAGATAACTCAATAAACTCTCCCCCTGTATACCATCAATATGTGCCAGTGCAAAGTACGGAAGTGCCGTATACAATTAAAGTGTATCCCATTGATGAGAAGACTGTTATAAACCGTGGATTCTATGAGCAATCAACAGTGGACCCATATGTGTGTGATAGTGTGGAAACCATGTATCCTGACCCGCCTAAACAAAATACTATCAGGTTAGTTTTTTTAACATTCAACACAGAGATGACAATGGCTCCTATCTCTCTAAGAGATAGGAGCCTCATAGGCTCATAGGCTTTTTAACCCAGCAAATGTTGCCTCTGGAAGCCTCTTTTGTGGTATATTTCCGCCAGTATTGTTATTTACAATACAAAATTTATATTAAAAGCTAATTAAATAAAGTCACTTTTCACTTCTATTTATCAGTATATAATAAATTTTAAAATACTATAATTTAAAACATAATAATATAAAACAAAAATCAATAATTGTTTAACAAAAACAAATCACATAAAATTTGTTGTTGAGTAAAAAAGACAATGTCTTAACATATAACTTCTTATATGAATACCGCATTACCTATTTTTTCTGATAATTAAAAAGAACTGTGTTAATACAATTTCAGATCAATATTAACAAATGGAGAAGCAGCAGCGTATCCAAAGGAAGTGAATCAACAGCACATTTGTGAAGAAATACCATCCACCAGCACCAACCCTGATGTTAATAAAGCAAGAGACATCCTGCAAGACGTAGAAAGGTATATACTAGCTAATGGAATAAAAAATAAACGGGTTTATTTCAGATGGACTTTTACCGTCCAGATTGATGCAATATTCAAGAAGGGTATAACAAGAACCGAAAACCTTATGTATGTATGTATAGATGTATGAATGTTGAAGACAAGAGAGGTGTGTCAGGACCATGCCAAATGGCAGTCCTTGGTCTCTGTCTACCCTTCTGGGTTAAAGGTGTGAGTTATGTTGTGGGTATGTAGTTTATGTTGTTGTATAAATACCACGGTGAGTTTATTCTATGGGTTTCCACTGTAAAAATACTTGTTTTAAAATATGTATTCAACCCTTAAACTATGTTTTTATGTGAATATTTTAAAGCAATTTATTATAAATTGTATGTTTTCTTTGCAGGATAGAGCCAAATTCAATGGAATCAATATTGTGTGAAGCAATAAAGTTAGAGTTTGAAGCATATTCATCTGTCAACTCTTGCAGCGGATCATCTCGGGAACTTAATGAGGTATACATATAGAGTTATTTACCCTAACATTTATATTATATTAAAACTTTAGTTAATATTACTTAGTTACTTTTTATTAAATTTAATTGCATTGAAGAAGGCAATTTTTTTTTATAAATTCACATTTTATGTGATGGAAATTGTCAGTGACCCCCGCCAAGACGATGATTACCAACTCTCAAATCATTCTAGAGTATTGCCAAAAAGAATGATGAATTCGTACAAAATATATTGATTATAAACGTACTAGCGACTCCGTCCACGCGGAATTAAAAAAAACATAAATAGTAGCCTATGTGTTCTTCCAGACTATGTTCTACATCTATGACAGATTCTGCCGTTCTGGAGATATATTTAAACAAACATTCATCCATATAAACATTCGCATTAAGAAAATGTGATGGCAACACTGTATGACGCTTATTAATTTATTTATTACTAACAAAATACATCATAATTTGTTCCAAATTTCCTCGTATTACGTATTTTCGTAACCTTGGGGAATTATTAATTATAACATTGTTTAAAGGAATATGTTCTCTATTACAATAGGTGGAGCGCGCAAAGTTGAATGAACTGATCGTAGCGAACAAAGCTCTGCACGCGCCCATTGATGACGATATATCACAGTTGATAGGAGACACGGCCGCTACAGCTGGACTCAAGGTAAATATTTTAAACCTTATGTACTAGCTAATAAAGATTATTTTTCGTTACCTTGATTGTACGCTTGTGTTCAATTTTCAAATTATTAACAACTAACGTTTTTTAACCGACTTTAACAAGAAGGAGGTTCTCAATGCGTCTGTGTTTTCTTTTTAATTAAATATGAGTAGATTATTCCTTTTAGTAAAATTGGACATCTAGAAGTTTGGATGGATGTATGTTTTTTACTATTTAATTCCATAAAGACTATTTATGAATGAAGTTTCGAACAAATATATTATATTGACACTACATTTGATCTAGAAAAACTAGTAAGTAGCTAACTTTGTAATTAGTAGAATGGTGTGAGTCGAACCCATGACCTTTACATCAGACTGTCCACACTTTTAAACTATTGACTGCTATGTGTCGTCCCGCGGAACTAAATTAGTAACCTGTATTCTACACCGGTGAGCGTCGGTGGCTCAGGGGTCAAGCACTTGACTTGTCTGCAGGTACTGGGTTCGAATCCAGCCATGTACCAATGTGTTTTTCGATTTCCGATTTACATATGTTCATTTATCCGACGTTCTTACGGTGAAGGAAAACATCGTGATGCAACCTGCACATATCTGAGAAGAAATTCAAAGATATGTGAGAAGTCAACCAACCCGCACTTGGCCACATGGTTGACTATGGTCTAATCACCCTTAACTTAGGGTTCGTATAGTGAGCTGATGATGATGATGATTCTACACCTATGACAAATTTCATTGAGATCCAGGCAGCTGTTCTAGAGACTAACAAACGTCCATCCATTTATCCAATCATTCGCATTTATAATATTAGTAAGATTGGTGTTTAAAAAAAATCTTGGTATTTTCAGAGTGGTGATGGTAAACACGACCCTCGTCTGATCACCATCATGAACCTGACTGCTGTTGCCATCAGACGCTTCATCAAGATGGCCAAGAAGATCAACGCCTTCAAGAATATGTGCGAAGAAGATCAGGTACTACTGTTAAAGAATTTCATTGTAATTTTTTTTTAATTTTAAGATGTTTATGTTCCACAGATGAACATAGTCTGGAAGAGCACATAGATTTCTAATTTTTTTTTAAATCCGCGCGGATAGAGTCGGGGGCGATAGCTAGTCTTACTATTTTGCTAATATTATAAATGCAAATATTTTGATGGCTGCATGGTTCTTGCTGAAATTATAAATAGACATAAATCATAGGGTAGTGCAATGGTTCCCAAACTTATATTGTCTAATGCCAACTTTGAGAATAATTTTTTTTTAGCGCCCCCATATTTTCACATATTTAAAAACCACCATAACTTCAAATTAAATTAATTAATTATTGTGACCTATATATGTATATTAACGGAGAATTGTAAAGGAAATTTTTACTATAACCCGCAACTTGAGACCTGCAGCGCCCACAAGGGGGCGTTATCGCCCACTTTGGGAAAGACTGGTCTAGAAGAACACATAAGCTACTAGTTAAGTTTTTTTTATTCCGTGCGGATAGAGTTGCAGGCGACATCTAGTTTCTTATAAAATGTTTGTTTTTTTTATGTTTATTTTTTGTTATGTATTTATATAAATATTTCAGGTAGCACTACTGAAAGGTGGTTGTATAGAGATGATGGTGCTCCGCAGTACTATGACTTATGACGGACAGAGGAATCAATGGAAGGTATGTTACAACATTATATATTGTATATTAACTTATTTTAAAAGAACTTCCTGACATTGGCAAGAACAAATTAAAAAAAATAATGAAGAGATATGAAGATATTAATCAATGTAAAATGAGAGGTATATTATGTAGCCCAATCTTTTCACTAATCAAATTCTATGTATTTCTAGTATAGTGCAAACCACATATATATAGGTTTATTATGCCTCATATATAAACCACTATTTACTCGGCTCCGAGCCTACCCTATAAAGTGATTGGCTGGACCTATAACCACGCTGTCAAACTGCGGGTTGACTTGACACATATCACAGACAGGTGCAGCATCACAGTACCGCTGTCTCAGTGAAATAATAAATATGTAATGAGATGTGACTGTGAGCAGCTGCCGCACAGTCAGAAGCAGTTCGGCAGCATCCGCACTGAGGTGCTGAAGCTGGCGCCGGGCGACGTGTACCGCTCCCACGAGGCCTTCATCCGCTCCTTCGCCGCGCGCTGGCGCACCGACGAGCACCTCATCCTCATCATGTGCGCCGTGCTGCTCTTCTCCCCCGACAGGCCCAAGGTCGTGCACCGCGACGTCATCAAACTCGAGCAGGTGACACATCCCACCACCTCCCACCTCACCTACACCTCCCCCACACACAATTGCAGTTCTCTCTCCTTACAGAATTCCTACTACTATCTCCTGCGTCGCTACCTGGAGAGCGTGTACCCTGGCTGCGAGGCAAAGTCCACCTTCCTCAAGCTCATCCAGAAGATCCTGGAGCTGAGGAAGTTCGCCGAGGAGATCACCGGCGTCTACCTCGACGTCAACCCCATCGAACCTCTGCTCATGGAGATATTCGACTTGAAGCAACACGACGCTTGATGTCAGAAGTAACCAGACATATCTCGTCTCTCAGCTGCGCAACAAACACTACACCAGAATTACCCTTGTTTCAACTAACAACTAAATTATGTTTCAACCGTTTCTCATTCAACTATTTGACTAAATTGTTTAATTAATCAACTAGTTAAAAAGTAAATTTACGTTTCGTTACGTACTTTTATCTTTGTACAAAATTAATTATTATAGATATTTAATAGATGTGAGTTGTCGTAGTCATTTCAAATGGATTATGTAAAAACAACTAAAATACCTCACTATTCGTATTTTTTAAACAAAAAAAAAACAATCTTTTTATAATATTTTTTTTATAATTAATTTTTAAAAGTAAAATGAATTCTTTTAGTCATTTAAATATTTGTAAAAATATTTTTGGAAATTATCCATATTATAGAAGGACTACACAGTCTTGATCATAGTTTATTTATAATTATTAAAACTAACATATCCACTAGAAATATTTATTACAACTTTCTTTTATTGCTTTTAATTTATATGTAATAATATTACATGGAAGTTTGAAGACTTTATAACCGTAGGATATGCGGTGATATTTGTAACACATATGGTTGTCTTTGTAACACATATGGTTGTCTTTGTTTTATCAACGAGAATGAAAGGGACAGTATGTACCAACACATGAGTGCAGACTCACCGTCATACAATGTAGACAGAAAGTAGTTTGAGGTTTTGTATTACGTGCAGTGATAATCACAAAATGTTATGCTAAATTTAAATAATGAATTCTTTTTTTATTCATATCTTCAAGAAAATATAATGATATATATTTTTTTTAATGTTTAAAAAATATTTAATATACATCTGTGCCAATTTGTATAAATATTATTGTAAATAATGTTAGTATGCAATTATTCTAAATTTATTACTAATACTTTTAAAGTACAACTTTTAAAAATATGGTTTCCTACTCCATACTTTGTCAGCTGAAATATCTTTTTCAGCTAAATTTTTTAGCAGTCAAAATGATTGGACGAGAAGCCAATTATAATAAGACTAATTTTTTTATTTTATTTTAAAGTATCAATACTTTTAAGTCGTGTTATAAGTTTTTGTATGACAAAATTGTGTATGAATTATGTATGGAAGAATTATTGTTATAGAAGTTAAGTAAATGTTAATATATTAGTGGCAGTAAGATTTTTATTATATTTATAATTTCTTTATATTTCCACTAAAAATACAATTATTAAGTCGAACAATTTATGAATATTAATTAAATGAACAAAATCATTGGAAATGCAGTCATTATTTTGAAAAAAAAAAACAAATCAAATGTTAAATATTTTCAAATATATTTTTGTGTTTTATGAAATGTATGATTGTATTTAAAATGTAAGTTATATTTCTACATCAATTTATAATCTGTCGTTTTTTTATGATAAATGTAAATAAAGTGTATGTGAGAAATTTGACATATTCATTGTATATAGAGTGTGAGAGAACTATTTTTGTAGAACAAAGATATTTTGTTATGTGGAAATATTTGATTAAGGTAAATGTCCATTGTCCCGCTACGAACGCACCGCACGCACGGCACGCAACGGATTTTAGTTTGCTTGGTATGACGTAGCAAGGGAACTTGAGCAAATCCGTTAACTCCGTGCGTCCGGTGCGTCCGGCGCGGAACAATGGACACGTACCTTTAGGTGCAATATCCGTATGTCCTGCAGAATTTAATTAAATATTTTAGTTTGTTATACTTGTTGTTTCATTTCTCTATTTCTTTTTTTTTTCAAATATAATCTGAAGAGAAAGCTTGATAATAATAAGGATATTGGAAATAAAGTTACTTTTAAATAAAAATGTATGTATTTATGACTAACATCAAATAATTAAAGTAAAATTAATTAGCACATCACTTGCACAAATAAAAAAAACATTAAATGTTGACATGATATGGGTTATTGAAAATTAAAATAATTCCTTCTGCCGCTTTCAGTTATTTCATGTTTACTTAAATTCAAAATTAACGACCTCTTAATAACTGCGGCAAACTGAGATTTTATGGAACGTAAAGTAATAAACATAAAACAAAAATATTCACTTGCAAATAACAAAAATTAAAAAAAAATGTGCCTAAGGTTCTTGTCCTAATGCTAATTTCATTTCGAGTGTAAAAGTTTCTTCAGATCGATCAAATTCGTTTGCTCCGAGTACATCAGTCTGTACGTTCGCGTCCACATCAATACAATCCTCAAACTTATCTTCAGATTCCTCTTGTATTTTTGCATTTAAATCAACATTTTCAGAAACATTAGATTTTTGTTCGTCAACTTCAACTATAGATTCATCGACTTCTAGTATTCTAACTGCATCCCTTTCCTTCGTATCTTCAGTTAGCGTGTCTTCGAACGTAGATTCATGGCTGGGTATGAGGGTGACCTCGTTGTCCTCCCCCTCAGAGTCGGGAGGGCTGACCTGCAGGCTGTACGGGATGAACTCTCCCGCGCGCCATCGCCTTTCAGCTTCGTCCATGTGAACCTCCAAGATGTGGGAAACCTCCGGCAACTGTGGAATGAGCAACTTTGACCAAACAGATAACAATATGCTTTAAACGGCGATTTTGGTATTAGAAAACCACGGACACTAACATTGTAGAATGTTAGTTTAAAAATATAAAAAGCTGTACTGTGGGTCCTCAAATATTTGTAGCAATCGTCATCGCATTGTCATCGATAAAATTTGTATTAAAATTTATGCGCGTGAAGTACACCAAAAATCTCATACAAATGATTATCACAAATATTCGTGGTGGGCTCACTGATGGTAAATTATAAAATTTGTCAGCACCAGGATAACTTGGTGAAGTACGTTAAGAATGTACACTGACAGTATACTCCTGTTCGAGATGATCAGAGATGTGTTCAATGATGGCATTGGTCCTGTTGTCGACACTACCGGCGCGGCTCGTCACCACCTCCCGGTGCCGGTAGAACTCGCGCTCCTCGTGCCGCAGCGTGCGCTCCAGGATCTCTGAAGCCACGCGCTCCTCCACAGCCGCGTTCTCTGACATGTTCGCGTAGTTTGTACCTGAACGTACATTGAATACAGTGTTATAACCCAGGGGTCCTCGGTCGCCCTTTACCCCCACATCAAATCTTCTAAAGAACTGTTTACAACTCTTAGAAATGTTTAGGACTCTTTTAAATACGTAAGCAGATCCAACTAAATAAAACCCGAAATAAACCCAAAATTGGTTAAAATCGTTATATGAAAATCGAAAATAAATTTACATCAAAGTACCTTGCGATGGGAACCTATCATCATCATAGGAGTTGATGGTGTCAATGATGTCCTGCTTGGCCTGGTCGCGGTCAGCAGGAGACAGCGCGGCCGTTAAGGAAGTCGAAGCTAGAGGTGGAGGAAGCACATTGTAGTCAACACCACCATTTACATCTGTAAAATAAACCAGGCCAATCCCTAAACAACCTCATGTAAAAATATTGAAAAACTTAAGGCTAATAAGTATTCTGTCGGTACTCTCCAAGGTTATAGAAAAGATCTTGAGCGAACAGTTAAAGCCCTATCTGGAAACTGAAGACCTAATACATCGATAAGCCCAATTAAGCTTTAGTCTTTAAACAGGTGATATCACATAGATTGACGACTAACTATACATGTCATGCCGCCCAAAGGATTTATAACAAACGGAGGCAAATTAATCAGGACCTAGGCAATCTAAATGAAGTGTGAGAAATTCTCTTAACATAAATTCTTGTAAATCTAAATATCTCCTTTTCCGAAATAAATACAAACGTGAAGCTATTGTCAGGCAGTCTACTAGAATCACGATATCGGGTCAAGAAATTGGAATAGTAAAATACGCGAAAAATTTGGGACTATTGATGGATGGGGATTTACACTTTGAAGAAGACGTAAACACAGAATGTAAACCAGCTCCACATGGCTATGCTGTGCGGTACACGCTGGACCTACAGCCTATTGTTATCATTTTTTTAAATTATTCTATTACTTTACTAAATATTGTATTTCTTACTTTCGTTAGATTTCAATACGTTTTTGTCTTTTTCCTTAAACGCTTCGTTATCTTTGTTTACTTTAAAATCAGACTCGACGCTTTGCTCTTCATCAGTTTTAGCGAGAGCTGTTGCAGGTCTCTTTGTATTCTCAGCTTCTTGTAAATGTATGTCTTCATTATCTGAATCATGTTCACTTGACAAATTTATAGATACAGTATCTTCCGATGACGCTAAAATTATTTTATATTAATTAGTTAAGCAACAAATTAGGTTTAGAAAGAAACCTCTATAAGGGAGAAAAATCGTGGTCCCCTGGACCCTCGCTCCAGGTTCCAGTCTAGTAGTCACAGACGTTATTTTTTAATTTTACCTGCTTTATTAATAATTTCTTCGCCAATTTGATACTGCAGTTCAGTGTCCACATACTGGAACAATATGGCGCCCGGCACCATAGTAAGTTTCACCTTCTTTTCGTCTTCAACAAAAAGTTTACATTTTTGAACCAAAAATATATGATTATTTTTTATTTATGGTTTCTTTTTCTGTACAAACGTGAATCTATTACTATTTTATTTATTCTGTAGTATCCTTTAACTTAAGTTATTATTTATTGATTAAAAATAAAGAACGAATTTTGACGTTGAGCTCTATTTTAGACAGACAAGGAAAAGATTTCTAGCGCGTACAATTTTGTTATTTTCCTGTTTCCACCTTATCTATATTTGACTGAAGATCGTTAGGAATTGTGATCCAAAAGAAGAAGAGTATGGACGATTGTGTCGACTGTGAGATATGAGGAGGAGGAGGAGGAGGAGGAGGTGGTAGTACCCGGAGTGTCGCCGGCGGTGAGCTGGCTGAAGGCGATCCTGTCGAAGGCGTTGTCGCGTCGGTACATGGTGACGCTGGTCTTGTGCTCGGGCAGCACCTGGTGCGCCGGCACGCACTCCCGCGCTCTGTGGTACTCCTCCATCACCGCCTTGTCGTATAACTTCTGCAGCAGAGTGTAAAGTTTTTCGCGCGTATGTTTGATTTTATGTATGTATTTTTGTAACTTTGTCAATCGTATTGTGACTTTCTGTAGCCGATATGTCAACTTAACCAGTATTGACTCCCCCTGAGTGACAATCAGTAGGGTTCTTTAATTTTTTGATATAGATTTTATGTAACATTTACTAAAATTTATCTTTGTACTCGCCATTGGGTCAACAGCGGGTTCTCCTCTCGCGATCCTGGCTTCTCTCTCCTTCTGCTCTCTTTCCAGCTCGGCGAAGATCTCCAAGTCCTCCGCGCTGGGCGTCATGTCCTCGTCATCATCATAGAGGTCGCTGTCAGCGCCACGGATATACTTCAATAACGAGACTCCATCTCCTTGCTCCAGTGCTGAAATTTTAAATAATACGTCAGCTGATAAAATACTTTGACAAATATTGTACCTGATTTTAATTATACCTACTTCTATCTGTCTTATTCGCGGTTTCTTCAACTGCTGTAACATTTCCTTCTTCGTTTGATTTATCATTTGCTTTATTTTCAATGTTATCAGTGTCTTTAATATCACTTGATTTAGTTCCACAATCGCTTTTTGAATTATCTCCATTATTTTTACTATCACTATCCATAGCAGTCTCTGTATCACCATACTTTATTTCTTGAATAATAATATTCTTTAAACCCTTATTTTCTTTGTCATTAGAGCAGACCTTTACATTGTTTTCAACAGGTAATGGTTTTGCAGTCAAATTGTGGTCATTTTCAATTTCTTCTGATGTTTCTTTATCTGTTTTATTATTAATATCACTTTCAATTATTTCAATTAATGGTTTCTTTGCAATAGTCGTTGGAACTTCTCTGGTCAGTTTAATATCTTCGCATAATTCATCTAAAAAAAAATGTATCTACATAATTAAATGATAATAAGCACTGTTATAACTATTCAAAGTAAAGCTAAAAAAAACATAATTTGTATCCTATGTGTTCTTCTAGACTATGTTATACATCCATGAAAAATTTCATCGAAATCCGTTTAGCCGTTCTGGTAATAACTTCGAACAAACATTCATCCATCCTAACTTTCGCATTTATAATATTAGTAAGATAAGACTAATAGTAAGACGTTTAAGGGGGGCTTTGCAAAATATGAAACTTTAAAAATTAACTTTTCGTTACTTTCCCGTAGATTTATGTTTACCACAATATCATTTTTTTAATACATTTTTGATGTCATATCTCATAAATTACACTATTATAAGTACTTCAAATTTTTATTATCATAAATGTACTTTTTGCAAAGAAAATTCCAAGCTTTGCCTTTACATAACTTAAGTTTTATGCACACTTACTGAACTACATTACAAGAGTTAAAGTTTCAAATAGTTCATTCTGTACTTCATATATATATTCAATTATTAATTCTATACGAAGTCGAAATTGTCTAACATGTAGGGATTTCATCCAAATTGGAAATTTCCCGCCAAAAAAAGTTTATAGAGATTTCATTCTCATTCGTATTCTTAAATCGCTTTGTACCAACAAATCCACGACTACATTGAACTGTGAATTATGACAGCGCATTCCACGTTTTCGAAGTTTTGTTCAGCGCCATCTGTCGTCGACTTAACGCAACTTATTTATAAAATATAAATCCGTATTTAGAGAAATCACCATTAAATAAAAAATAAATTGATGAAATAATAACATAAATACGTACCTTTTATTTTTATTTTATTTTTATCCGTCGCAGATTTACTTTTACGTGGAGTTTGATTGAATAATAAATTACTGATTGCGGTTAGTTCCGAAGAATATTTACTGTAAAAAACAAACTTTAATTAAGAAACCTAGCTGGTCACAAATCAATCGATTAATTTTTAAAATGTGAGAAATATTTGAACAGTACAGTAGTACTTATTAATCATAATAACAAAGATGCATAATAATAATATTTGCTCCTATGATATTGCTAGGCGCCACGAGATCGCGAATATTATCTTAAGCACTTGACTTGGGAAAAAGCCCCCGACGGGTTCTAACCTATTCGGTGCCGTCCCCAGAGTTTATATAATAATATGTAACAGTATTTGAACTATTTAATCGCATAGTAGCTGTTACATAAAACTTACTCATTGTTATCATTGTTCAGATCACCAGTATAGCCAGCCCAGCAGTCGCCCTGCACCGGAGGATCTTCTTGCCTTGTATCTATCTCTTGAACTAGTGTCTGACTGTTAGGCGACCATTGAATTTCCGATGTTGGAGCATCTATTAAATAATTATCAGTGGGTTATTCATTTTAGTATTTAGTAATAAAATATACACGAATTAAATTTTTCTATAATTTTTTTCAAATCTAATGCTGTGAAAAAAGGTCGACCTTGAACTTAAGAGTTTATGAATCGCTATATTACACAACTATTAAGATAGAAATTAAGAATGTTAATAAGAAAAGATCGCCGACCATAGTGTCATAAGGTCAGAGAGATGCTGATATTAAAAATAAAAGTCTACAGTTTATGTCTACTGCCTGTACCTTTTTCTTCTTCATCATGAGTGCTGCTGTCACTATCGCTGTCCTCACTAGTAGACTCGGCTTCGGAACCAGTCAGCATGTCTTCTACCACGCCATCCACAGTCTTCACATTGACTTGCTCTGATGTTCCTTCTTCAATTTTGTCTTTAACGTCTTCAATCTGTGGTACATCTTCTTCCTATAATACGTAACAGTCTTTTACAGGACTTAATTCTACCGAACTTTAAACGTGAAAGTTTAGATGGATAGATGTATGGATTTTTGTTACCAAATAACCCTAGCACAGTTGAACAGATCTGGATAAAAATTAGAACAGAGATAGATTACAGTCTGAAATATGCAGCATTAATTAGTTATTATGTAATTACTTGAGGTGGAAGACCGAGTTTCTCCCGCTCTTCTTTTTCCTTAGCTTCCCGTTCTGCTTTCTTCTCCTCTCGCATCTTGATCAGGTACCGAACACTCTTCATCGTCTTCTCGTGTTCTGCTGCTATCCAACTGTAATATAATAATTGACCATCACCCACAACGTCTATTTACTACTTCCACGATTATAATCACCAACCGTTTCCTCTCAGCGATCTCCTCCTGCACTCCACCACGCTGCCAGGCCTCAGCGCAGGCGCGGTCACGCGGGAAGACCGGTCTATTGTCTAGATTCAGCAGTTCCTTCAAACGCAGCGTCAGAGTCTTTCTATATGCCGGTATGTTTCGCACCACTGGGTTACCCGTTAGTACCAGAACTGACAACATTAAAACACTCGTTTATATTTACTTTAATTTTCAAAATTTTAGTAGAAGAAAATGTATACCTTTTAGAACTACCATGTCAGCTAAGACATCAACAATTAGTGGATCTTCCAGTCGATTGTGCGAGAGATCCAATACAGAGAGGTTCTTGCAAGTCGCTAAATGCTGGAGATCACCTAAAGCATTAAGACATACATTACCAAATTCTGACTATTCCATGAGAGACTAATTAATACGACAATATCAAACACAAATGCAAGATTTGACTCTTACCTACAGTGGTGAGCATATTATGAGCGATACTCAAAGTGTGCAAGTCGGGAACCACATCCAGATTCTCTATGCATGTCACAAAGTTGTGGTCCAAGTTCAAAGTGTCCAGTTTCGGACAGCCCTGTAAGTTCTCAATCTTCCTGACAACATTATAGTGTAGGTAGAGACATTTCAGTTCGGCCTGCATGTCCAGACCTTCGATCCTTTGAATACCGTTATTTTCTAGGAATATGCATTTCAAACCGGTGTATTCCTCGAGATTTTCAATCTTGGCAAAGCCCTGGAATTCGAAATTTTACGAATGTTATAATTTTAGTGGTGAATAGGTCATTGCTTATACAAGATCTGGTGAATATGAATTCTGACTTAAAATGTTGTTTGTAAAACGAGCTGACCTTGAAGTGAAGATATAAAATATCATTAAGATGTGGAGTGCAGTACAGTTTGTGCTGTTTGCAGTGGTTTTTTATAAACTCTTTCGTCATCCGCGGACCTCTGTTCGCTTCCTCTTTTTCTCTATCCAGCTTTTCTTGAAATTCTCGTTGCTTCTGTCGCCTTTCTTCTGTCGCATCCTTCTTTCTCTGTTCATATTCACGTATTCTTGATGAAACTGCATAAAATCATACAAAACATTTAGACGTATACACAGAAGAAACTGCTAAAAACAAGATGAAATGTTCTTACCTGTCGTATTCATTTTCGTGGGAACTTCAGAAATATTAGAATCCTTTTTTAAAGTAACTAATTCATCGTTTCTGTTTTTGTAATCTCCTTGAGCTTTTGTATCAACTTTCTCTGTTGTAATGGAACCTTCACCAAATGTCTTGTATTTTGTATCACCTCTATTGAGTAATTTGTCAGCCAATCTTAAGACTTCTTTATTGTGTTTCATTTTGTCTTTTATATCAAAAAGGAGACCATCGATACGTTTATTTCTTTCTACTTCTTGTTTCTCAAATTGAGGTAAATCTCGTGATTCTTTGTTAAGATTTTCTACGTGTTCTTTTAATGTTGTTGTACCAGAATGTTCTAATGGATGAAGAACTCTGTGTGACTTTGCCAGTACTTTGTCAACTTCTTTCATGAATTCATTGCATTCTTTTTGTCGTGTTTCGTATGCTATTTGACTTTTATTGACCCTCTCTTCATGACAGTTAATCTCTTGATTCAACTCAACTATAGCTGTATTTATATCGTCTATTTGGGAAAAACTAACGGAATCGCTTGATAATTTCAACCTATTATTAAAATTTTCATTGTTTTCGGTAACTTCTGGTGCCTTTGTAATATCAGATGTCTGAATACTCTTTCTGTCGTTTATAAGATTTTGGTACAAAATATTAGACTTCCTAGAATTTTCAAGGGCTTCATTTACATCATTTAACAATTCATTCATGCTATTCAATTTATTGGTTATATCTGATCTAATCAAAGTACTAAGATTTTCCGCTCCTTCTACTAGATTTCGTGCAAGATTTCTCATTTCTTTAAATTCTAAATCTTTGTTTTCGCGGTTTTCATCGTCTCCAATATTAAGTATGGATTCTAAAGCATTATGCAATGTTTGCTCCATTCTATCATCGAATGACTGATTATTGTCATTAGTTGGCTCATTATTGTTTAAGCTCTCATTATTCGCAGCGTCATCTTGGTTGCTATCTTCTTCCTTCATCTGATCTGAGGCAGCAGAATTTTGATCCTGTGATAACTTAGAATTATCTTTATTTCCTCCAATACCAGGTTCCCCACTTAAAATTGCATCTATATTAGTTAAAACTTTAGTTGTATCCACGAGTTTGCCTTCAAAGTTTTTAGAAAAAACTTCGTCTAAATTGGTTTCTTCATCTTTTTTCATTTGTTTAATGTAACTCAAATTAGATTTCTTATCCTCGAAAGATTTTAATTTAATCGGATTGTTCACTATTGGGATATTCATTGCCGCATTTATAGAATACTCTTCCTTAATCTCTTCAAAAATATTACGACGATTTTTGATATCAGGGAGAACTGATGAAGATTCTTGTAGGATTTTGTATTCTTCTGTTAATTGTTTAATTTTTTGTTCGCTTACGTTATCGTTGTTACCATGCAAATCAAGCTTATCGTGTTTGTCGGCTAGTTCAAGCAACATTTCTTTCGTTTCTTGGAATCTTGTTTCATAAGATTTGTTAGTGTACTCAGTAACTACTTTGTCAATTGCTTCGAACTCGCTATCACTATTGGAGGCTTCATCATCCGTTTCTTTCACTAAAGGCTTATTCGCATCAACAAGAGAAGCTTCGTAAGCATTAGCGCTATTTACTAATGCTTGCATATTTCTGAAATTCGCATCTTTAATTATTTTTTCGTCGCCTTTAGCTGATTTTATTTCATCCATCATTTGCTTGTAATCTGGTAAGTTTATTTTATCTAAAGGAACATACATATCACCGCTATCGCTTTTTGATCTTGCTATTTGAATTTGTCGAGATTTTTCACGGATTATAGGATTACTTTCGATCATTTTCTTTAACTCCTCCGTCGTTAATGGCGTGCTGGATTCTGTTATATCTGTAAACGGCTGACCAGTCAACACTTCGTATTCAGACTTTATCTCTCCGTCTGCGGAAGCTGAAATGTAAGGCTGATTTTCGTCCCTTCTATTTTGTAAAGGTTTCAATTCATTGTCGATAATTCTTTCCAAAACTTCCTTTGAAAAATTTCCATCTTTAAAGAATATTCGTAGCTCTTCTCGTTTCTTTTCTATATACTCCTTGGAATTCTCAGATACGTTCATATTGATCTCCATAAACTATTTATATTAGTTTAATAGAAAAATAACTGTAATGTTCAATGAACTTTACATTTTACCAAAACCCGATTACTAATTTCTATGGTTACCGAACATTCATAATTATTTATTGGATCGAAATTCAAATATTATGGTCAAAGAAGTCTATCTTGTTCGAAATATTGCATATTTATATTAAATGTCACCGTGATCACGATATTTGATTACAATTATTTACGTATATTTAGTTATTGTACGTGTTTTTAT